GTTCCCTCATCTGTAAAATGAAAGGGTTGAACAAGATGAACTATCAGGCCTGGGCCAGCTCAAAATCTATGAGCCTCTGCTAAATGCTGAAGAAATGTCTGACTTCATTACTAGTGAGCAAACAGGCTCAAGCCTCAGCTCAAATATCACCTTAACAGCCACTCACTAACTCAATGAGCATTTATTAAGCACTGACTACATGCCAGGCACTGAGCTAAGTGTTAGGGGTACAAAGAGAAGCAAAAGATAGTCCCTGCCCTCAAGGAACTTACAGTCTAATAGGAGGACAACATATAAACACACACACACACACACACACACACACACACACATATGAAAGCAAGCTATTTACAGATAAATAGGAAATAATAAAGCAATAGAATTGTGAAGTTGGGAAAGACTTCCTGTAGAAGGTGGGGTTTAGTTGGAATTTGAAGGAAGCCAGAGAGGCGAGGATGGGGAAAGGCAAGCATTCCAGGAACAAGATGCAGTCAGGGAAAATACCTGGAGCTGAGAGATGGCGTCCTTGCTCAGGAAGAGCCAGGAGGCCAATATGACTCGATAGTGTAGTACAAGGAGGGGAGTAAGATGCAAGAAGACTGGAAGGTAGGAGGACTTAGGTTATGGAAGACTTTGAAGGCCAAACAGAAGGGTCTCTATTTGATCCTGGAGATGATAGGGAGCCATGGGAGTTTATTGAGGAGGGGGGTGGCATGGTCAGATCTTTGCTTTAGGAAAATGGCTCTGGTTGCTGAATAGAGGCTGGCCAGCAGGCCTATCACAAAGGTCCAGGCCTGAGGTGCCAAGAGTCTGCATTAGACAGGTGGCTGTGTTAGGGGAGAGGAAGGGGCGTATTTGAGAGATGCTGCAAAGGTAAAATTGAGAAAAGGTCTTTGGATTGGGCATGTAAGAGATCATCAGGAACTTTAGAAAGAGCAATTTTAGTGGAATAATGGGGTCTGAAGCTGTAGAAAGTTAAGAAAAGAGTGAGAGGAGAAGAAATAGAGTAAGGCCCACCCCCAGGCCTAGTGCCTTCCTTTGAGATTTATCCTGTATGTACATCATTGTTTGCATGTTGTCTCGCCAGTTAAAATGGAAGCTCCTCGAGGACAAGACTCATTTTTTGCCTTTCTTTGCATCCCTAGTACTTAGGCTAGTATCTGGCAGGTGGTAATTACTAAACACTTAACAGTGATACAGTGGACAGAGCATAGGACATGGAGTCAGGAAGACCTGAGTTCAAATCCAGACCCATACTTACAAGCTGTGTGACCCAGGGCAAGTCACTCGATGTCTGTCTGCCTTGGTTTCCTCATCTGTAAAACAGGATAATAATAGCACCTCCCTCCTAGGGTTGTTGTCTCAGATGAGATACTTATAAAGCACCTAGCACCATGCCTGGCACTACATAGGTGTTTAATAAAAGCTTATTTTCTTCCTTGAATGGCTGAACAGAGTAGGATAAGATCAGATTTCCTCCCAGGTCAGCACCTGGGATAATAAAGAAAACAAACCCTGTGACTTGTCTAAGGTCAGTATCCAGGACTAGGATTTGAACTCAGGCCTCCTGCCTCCAGGTCTGGGGCTCTTTCTCAAATACTAGCAGCAGCCAAGATGTAGGCTGATTGTTTCTCTGCTATGTTAGTCACATCCCTAGATTCCAGGAGCCCTAAGGGCCCCCTGGAGATTAAGCTTCGCGCTAAAATTAGACCAGAACTGCTTTCAGATTTCTCACACATGAGCAGGGGATCTCAAAGCTGCGCCGCTCCCCCCCCCTTTTCTCTCAGGACAGCAAGACGCAGAACATGGGAGGTACCGCATGTCAGCTCAGTTGTCACAGGGTGGCTGACCCCAGAGCATACTAGGAAACTATTTTGGGACCGACTGCTCATAAGAAAAAAAAATAACAACACACCAGCAAGGAAGGCTTTACAGACCGTAGTAAAGACATGGATTTATTGCCTTGGTCTGCTCATCTGCAAAACGAGGGGGTTAGACTTTGCAGCCTCTGAACACCTGCTACAGTCTGATCCCACGGTTTTCTAATCCTTTTTGGGCCAGGGGTCAGACTTCAACACTCATTTGTCAGTTTCCTGTACATTTAAATGATTATAACCGGCATAGTCCCTGGTAAATATAGGACCAATTAAAGGAAGACAATCTGGGGCAAGTCCTTTTCTTTCCTTGAATCTGTCTCAACTCCAATGTCCATTCTCCGCTATTCCAGTGTGGATTTTTCGGGGAGGAGAAAGAGGAGTCAGGACTTCAGTGGGGGGAGTTCTGGTGTGGAAACTCTCTCCACAGATTCAATAACAACTGAAATTAGGAGTTTTAAGTTAACTGAGGTAAAGAGAGGTTAAGTGAGTTGCCCATAGTCACATAGCTAGAATGGAGTCAGGTCAGAGGCAGGACCCAAGCCTCTAAGGCTGGCCCTGCACCTCTATCTATATCTATATCTATACCTGTATCTATATCTATATCTATACCTGTATCTATACCTATACCTATACCTGTATCTATATCTATACCTGTATCTATATCTATATCTATACCTGTATCTATACCTATATTTATACCTGTATCTATACCTATACCTATATCTATACCTATACCTATACCTGTATCTATATCTATACCTATACCTGTATCTATATCTATACCTATATCTATACCTGTATCTATATCTATATCTATACCTGTATCTATATCTATACCTATATCTATATCTATATCTATATCTATATCTATACCAGGCTCCTCTCAACATTCTATGCTCCTGTAAAATGCCCAAAGGCAGTGTCCGAATGAATGGTTAGACCAGTTCTGTGTTCCAAGGCCCAGGAGAGGTCATAGCCTAGTTGAAAGAATACGCAATCTGGAGTCAGTATCCGAACCCTCGGCATTCAGATGATTCTGCTCTCAGTAACCTTGGGCAGATTGCTTCCCTTTTCTAGCTAGGCCTTAGCTTCCTCATCTGTAAAATGGAGAAGTTGAACTCAGTAATCTCTAAGGTGCCTTCTTTCTCTAGATTCTGTGTTTTCTCAGGATAAAATATTAGCTTTGGCATTTAAAAACCCTCCAGACAGGCCTTTATTAGGTAACTACTATGCTCCAGCCCACCTTTCCAGGCTCCCTGAACATTACTCTCCACAGTGCCAGGCACTGTGCGAAACACTAGGGATACAAAGAAGGACAAAAGTCAGTCTCTGCTATCAAGAACTGAGGAGCTAGGTGGTATAGTGGATGGAGTGCCAGGCCTGGAGGCGGGAAGACTCATCTTTTTGAGTTCAAATCTGGTCTCAGATATTTACTACCTGTGTAACCCTGGGCAAGTCACTTAACTCTGTTTACTTCAGTTCCTTATTTGTAAAATGAGTTGGAGAAGGAAATGGCTAAACCACTCTGGTATCTTTGCCAAGAAAACCCCCAATGGGGTCATGGAGAGTTGGACATGATTGAAATGATTAAGTAACAAGCTCTCAAGAAAAGGGAGAATATTGGGGCAGCTAGGTAGTGCAGTGGATAGAGCACTGGCCCTGGAGTCAGGAGGACCTGAATTCAAATCCGGCCTCAGACACTTGGCACTTACTAGCTGTGTGACTCTGGGCAAGTCATTTAACACCAATTGCCTCACTGAAAAAAAAAAAGGAAAGGGAGAACAGGCAAACTGCCACACACACACGGAGGATAAGGTAGAGATAATAAACAGAGGAAGGGCATTAGCATTAAGGGAGACTTGGAAAGGCTTCTTACAGAAGGTGGGATTTTAGCTAAGACTTGAAGGAAGCTGAGAGGCAGATTTGAAGAGGGAGAAAGTTCCAAGTTTGAGAGACAAGTGAAAACACCTGGAGTTGGGAGAGAGGGGGGTCTAGTTCTTGGCCTAGCGAGGGGGCCAATGTCACTGAATTGAAGAGTATATGGGAGGGTGTTAGGAGCAAGAAGACTGAAAAGTTAGGAAGCTCTTGGCTGTCCCCCCCAAACTGACATTTGCACCCTTTATTCCCCAGACCAGGAATATATACCTGTCTCAGCCCTACTGGTACAGTGGGTATCGTATTGTCAACAATCCCTACCTGACCTCCCAACATTCCTGACAGTGTTGACAACCCCCCCCAGCTCTTTGAGGTCAGGGACTGTTTTTCAGTTTGTTTACCTCTCCAGTGATTTGCACATAGTAGGAACTCAATAAATGCTTTTTGGATTGTATTAGCTCATTAATTCTCCTTGTAAAATGTAAGCTTTTTGAAGGCAAGGCCTCTTTCTTGTTTTGACTTTGTATGCCTAGCACCTAGTGAGTGTCTGGAACACAGTAGACACTTAATAACTGTTCACTGGATTGGATTTGATGGGATTCCAGTGTTGACATTCTTTCTATGTCATTTACTTAAGGGATTCATGTAACAGCATAGGGGGATTATACTAGGTGACCTCTAAGGTCATTTTTAATTCTAAGAGTCCATGACCATAGAAAAAAATCTATCCTGGCACATCAACATTTGCAAGGGTAGGCACATGCTGGGATCATAGGGCCCATAAATCTACATACAAAGAACTCTGAAAGAGACTGTAGAGGTCATATAGTCCAGCACTGAAGGGATCTCAAGTGGAAAAAGTTTAAGAAGCCCTGATTTTATAGTCCAACCCCCTCAATTTTTTTTTAAACAAATGAAGAAACTTAGAGTGTGTGCCTTGTTCTTGACTGGCACTTTACACACATGAGACACTGAGAGAACCTTAATAGGGATTGTCAGAAACTCATAAGATTCTTCTTGGATGGTCAGATAGTGCCCAGGTCCACTGGTGATGGGAGTTAGTGGGAAATTTGTAATGTGTGTATCACACACACACACACACACACACACACACACACACACACACCCCTGGAAAATAAATAAAATAAGCCCAAGGTGACATCATCTTCTCCTTGTCTTCTGACTTCCTTGGATCTGAAAATGTGAAAAGAGCTGGGAAGAAGTGGGGGAGGCCTCTAAATTCACCTCACAATGCTTTTATTTTGTGGTTCATCTATAAAACATCACCCCCTTACATGGAGCCCTTTATAGTCATCCAGAAACAGCTTTGTCAAAACACGATGCTATTAAAAGGCGACATCGGACCCTGCTGCCTGACTTCATGGTGGGGAGTAGGGAGAGGCAAGTTACCTGGAGTAATGCACTTCCCAAACTCACCGCAATTGACCAACTTCCTTGATGGGATAAATCCTGGGATTTCTCCCAATGTTGGGTCTTGCAATAACATCCCAGCCATGGTGTTGGGACTGAAAAATAGCAGAGGAAGGCGTAGTGCATCCCCCTCAGTTATAGGTTCCAGTTCCAGGTGAGGGTCCCGGCAGCCTCAGTTTGCTTATTATCCCTTTGGTGCGCAGTTTCAGGTGGTTCAGGGTGTTTGGATTGGAACATGATCCCCACAGCCCAAGACCCCAACTTGGAAAAGACTCCCTAGCTCGTCAAAGCCAGTGTCAGAACTTAACTGCAGATCTAGCAGAGCTGGCCAAGGGCCAGAGTGCAGAGGACCACAGTGACGTAATGTGCTATCTAAGATCCCTTCTCTCTGGTTGTGCCTTTTCCTTCACGTCACATAGGCTAGTTGACCCAAGAGAGACACGTTGAGTAGATGCCAAGCTTCTTGGCTAATCAGAAAGCTCAGTTAAAAGTTTCAATTAAAAATCGGTTCAATTTCCATTCTGATCCTAAGAATTCAGGGAGGTCTGATAGAGCTTCAAAAGTCACTAACGTTACCAGTGGCCATCTGGGAAATCTCAATCCCCCAAAAAGACAATTCTCTGAAAGCTGACCCGGATCTGACGTGAATGGGCAGCTCCAGGTCTGGCTCAGAGGTAACAGGCCACAGGTATCTCCCCAGCTTGGGTGGGTCACTTAGCCATCGAGGCCCCTTCTCAAAATCCAAGTTATGTTTCTTTCTCATAAGTCAATTCAAAAAGACACTATTAAGAGCCCAATTATTTTAGGGTGGGTTTTTTTCCACCTTGCTCTTCCATTCTTGGATTCAAAACAAATTAGTCTAAAATACAAAGTAGTTTTCACATGCCAGGAATCCTAAAGAGATATCAGGAAGAACCAATGTTCCTGGACTCCCATAGCAACTTAAAACTGTTTCCCAAAATAGTCTTTATTTAAAGGGAGAGAAAAAAAAAAAGGAGAAAACCTACCACCAAGATGCCTTGCTTTGGGCTAGAACTCTCCTTTTGGGCCTATAGGGATTTCTATACCTTATCTGTAAGCCCCTGAAAATAGGGGTCCCTGATGGAAATAGAGGCACACTGGGTGGTCTCCTCAAATTCCTTCTCCCTTGTACAAGTCTTAGGGTGGAGCCTGTGAGGGCTCGGGTGACATGGGTGTATTTCTCATGCAGCTCAGAAGTGACTCTCTCTTTGGCCACTAGTCACCTGTGGCAGATTCTTCATTTATTCTGCCTTCTTGGCCTTTCTCTTTCTCGAGCCTTCATTCAACTCCTCCTTTGATTTGGCCGGAGGCTGTGGGGCATGAAAAGAGGACGGCCCCCCCTGGGCATCGTGGGAAAACCCATCGTCATCATGCTGATGGTCCCCAGGGCCTCCCCAGGCAGAACCAAAGAGCACAGGACAGATGAAGCCCTCGATAGTGTCAAACGGGGACGCATGGGAGTGTGTAGCTGTCAGGAACACCTGTGATGGGGAATGGGAGAGGAAGAGGAGAGACACACAGAGAGAGAAGAATATGATTTGGAGGTCATTTTAGGTTACTGGAACTGAGGTATAAGCCATAACAGGAAATCTCTAAGCAGCCAATTGCATGGGACATCCCTCCAGACCTTTCCCCTGCTTTTTAAAATTCAGTGCCCTACTGAATATTCCATTCCTTCACTGAATGGGCCCACAAGAGCCCTCCTCTTGTTATGCCCCACTCCCTACCTTATCAAAACTTAACTGTTTTCTATCTGCACAAAGATTTTCATATCAGCATTATAAGAATTGCAAAAAACTGGAAGTATTCTGAATATCCAACAATAGAATCAAATAAATTGTGGTCCATTTATACAGTGTAGGGATTCTCAACTTGGGGCCCATGAAATTTTTTAAAAACATATTTTGATAACTATATTTCAACATGATTGGTGTGCTTTGTAATCATCTGTATTTTATTTTATGCATTTAAAGATACGGTTCTTAGAAGAAGGCCATTGGCTTCATCGGACTGACTGCCAGAAAAGGTCTAGGACTCCCAAAAGGTTCAGAATCCCTGAAGTCAGGGAATACTATAATGCAGTGAATTAAGACTGATGGATATAAGGCAGAAAAAGAAATCTAGGGAAAAGCTATATGAAAAAGGGGAAAAAAAAGCAGAAAAAGAAGCACAGAGGACACAATAACTAACTCTATGATCCATCCAAACCTGCCTTACCGCTGTTCCTCACACACGAAACTTTCTCTCCATACCTGCCTGTCCCCCATGCCCACAATGCTCTCCCTCATCACTGCCTTTCATGAGATTCCTTACCTCCTTCAAAGACCTGTTCAAGTACTACCTTGTATATGAAGCCTTTCCTAATCCCCAACACATTCTCCAAGCTGAAGCTATCAACCTCCAAAATTTATTTCATATACTATATATAATCCATATATATACATATATATATACACATAGTATATACACAGATAGTATATGTACATAAAAGCATGTATATATATATATGTGTGTGTGTGTCTTTGAATCCAAGTTTGAATAAGGCAAAATTTGATTTAGTGTAAACTATAAAATTATACCAGGGGGCATTAGATGTGGCTCCAAATTCAATTAATGCAACATATGAGAGCTACTTGAAGGTTTTAACATGATAGATACTTTGTCACATCAAATGTGGATGTGACGTACTGCTGCACATCATATTACCCACAATTGTGTTAATTGTTTTTAATAAGCCCTTAACATAATGGACGCAAATAAGAATACTTGACGGAACTGAACAGCATGGATGTGGTCACGGTAACTCTCAGAGCTGATGAGATGCCAGAATGTCTGAAACGCTGCAGAATATTATAAAGCACACAGGGGAAGAGAAGAAAGGGGCAAAATTGCATCTGTTTTTGTGATTTTCAAACAAGTAAAGGAATAAAAGGGTTATAATGAAAGAGATGGAGTCTCTTAGCTGTATGGTTTGAAGATTTAAACCAAAAACACCTTCCTCCGAGCAGAACAGTCATTCATACCAAACTATCATGTTTATTTAAGGAACTGATAGGGTCTGAATACAGACTGAAGCACGCTTTTTTTACTTCCTTTATTATTTTTTTTTTTGATCTGCATTTTCTTTGGCAACATGGCTAATGTGGAAATGTTTTGCATGACTGTGCATGTATAATCGATATCAAATTGCTTGTCTTCTCAAGGAGGGAGGAGAAAAGAGAGAGAATTTAGAACTCAAAATCTTTTTTAAAAAATGTTAAAACAAAGTTTGTCTACATGTAATTAAGAAAAAGATAATAAAAATGAATGTCAAAAAGTAAAAATAAATTAATTTAAAAAAGAAAAAGGTCAAATAAAAATAATTTTTCTTTTCTTTTCTTTTCTTTTCCTTTTTTAGGCAATTGGGGTTAAGTGACTTGCCCAGGGTCACACAGTAAAAATAATTTTTCTTAAGAAAAAGAAAGAAATTTAAATTTTTTAAGGAAATGAAAGAAAATAAAGAGACATTTCAGGGCTTTGGGCTGCTTTCACAGAGAAGGTACCAATCTGTACTAGCAGAGGGACTTTTCTCACCTAGAAGCTCACAGTTCTGACCCCATCCATATGTTCTGCATGTACTTCTTTGTTTACATGTTGTCTCCCCCCTATTGAATATAAGCTCCTTTCAGGCAGAGACTATTTCATTTTTATCTTTGTAGTCCCTGTGCCTAGCACAGTGCCCGGCGCATTAACAACATGAAAGGAAATGGGACTAAAAATGAATGAACAAAGACTTTCAAGCCAGATGGGAGGGGCTGAAAGATTGTTATGATGTTTTATGCATCTAAATAAAAACAGATCCTGAGTAATTGCTCTCTTTTTTGGCTTCCTACCATACTTATCAATCAAAAAGCATTTCTAAGGACTTAAGGAATACATCCCGTTTGTAGAGTCAATTTCTTGTGTGTGAGAGTTATGTCCTCTGCAACAGTATAGATGCCTTGAAGCAAAGATATATCTAATAATAATAATAATAACAGTATCAATTATATAATGCTTTATGGTTTGCAAAAAATTTTACAAGTTTTATCTCATTTTATCCTCACAAACCTGGGAGGTAGGTGCTGTTATTATCCCCATTTTATAGATGAGGAAACTGAGGCAAGCAAAGGTTAAGTGACTTGCCCAAGGTTACCCAGCTAGTATGTGCATGTGGTGACGTTTGAACTCAGGTCTTCCTGATTCCAGGCCCAGAGTTCCGTCTACTAAGCCACATAGCTGCCTTCCCAGTAGGACAAAAGGCCCTGCGTCTGATTCTTACTGCACCTTCCCCAAATTGAATCTTCCCCAGGGGCCAGGATTCCTAGTTTCTGTTCAGATTAGGATTCTTGCTACTTTAGGGGAAATAATTTTCTAGCCCCATCATGGTCCTCCTATAGCATCCCCAGCGGCCTCTTACCTTGCAAGACACCATGAACAGGGTGCAGAAGAAGATGAGATTAGCCTTAGAAATGGGAAGCCAGCGGGTCTGCTGAAGTGTGAAAAGAATGGCTCCATATAAGCTGGCTTTGGTTGGACTGGAAAGGAAAAACGAGCCCAGGCCTCAGTGGAGACAGGAAAGCATCCCAGCATCCACAGCATAATTCAGGAAGGTCCCAAAGCGCTGAGGCCCCCCTTCCCCCACCTTCCCATCATGACCTTCCCACCACCCCTCCCCCCAGTCATCTGGACCACTTCAGTCCAAGACAAAAAGAATTTAGAGCCAGAACACATAGGACATGAATGCTAGAAGTAGATGGGGGCTTAGAACATGGAATGTCAGCTCTATGCAGTTTTCTCTGTGGTAAAATGAGGGGACTGTATCAGATGTTTCCTAAGGTCCATCCCAGGTCTAATATTCTGTTCTAAGAGTCCTCTATCCTGTGTTCTAAGAGTCCTCCCATCTCTGACATCCCGTGTCCTAAGGGCCCTCCCAGCTCTGACAGTCCGTGTCCTGAGGGCCCTCCCAGCTCTGACAGTCCGTGTCCTAAGGGCCCTCCCAGCTCTGACATTCTCTGGCCCAAAGGCCCTCACAGCTTTGACATTCTGTGCTCTAGACCGCTAGGTAGCACAGTGGATGGAGTGCTGAGCCTGGACACAGCAAGACTTGAGTTCAAATCTATCCTCAAACACTTCCTAGCCACAGCTAGGGCAAATCACTTAACCTCTGTCTTGCCTCAGATTCCTCAACTATAAAATGGGGATAATAATAGCACCTATCTCCTGGGATGGTTATGAGGATCAAATAAGATATTTGTAAAGCTCTTGGAACAATGCCTAGCAAAGAGTAGGCATCTTTCCCCCAAGATCCCTCCCAGTTCTGACATTCTATGTTCTATTTTCTAAGTTCCTTTCCAAACTTAAAGATAGATGAGTACCCTATGTGTCCCCTATGTGTCCTCCTTTGGCTGGGGTACAATTGGAAATGCTTGTATTTCATCTTATGTGCTTGGAGTTGGGCCCTGAATCCTAAATTGATACAATTATACTGTTAGGCGCTCTCTGTGTAACTGGATGACCCTCTCTAGTCCAGGTTTTACCACTAACATAGACGAGTCATTTCCTCACTCTCTCCAATGAAGGCATTGGAACTCTTAGCCTCCTTCCAGCTGGGATGGCCTCCAATTCTAACAGCTAACAGCATTAATGCAGCACTTACAAGTTGGCACAGCGCTGTATAGATGTTATCTCCACTGATCCTTACAACAACCCTGGGAGGCAGGTGCTATTATTATTATCTTCCCCACTTTACAGGTGAAAAAACTGAGGCACAGGAAGTTAAGTGACTTGCACCTGGGATTACACAGCTAGCATCAGAGGCAGGATTCAAACTCAGGTCTTTGATTCCAAGTCCAGAACTCTACGCACAGTGCCACCCAGCAGCCTATGGTGCGGAGGTCAGTATGCACCTCAGACAGCCCTTTGCCCCAATTCAATTCAATGCAATTGAAAAAGTATTTATTGGGGCAGCTAGGTGGTGCAGTGGATAGAGCACCAGCCCTGAAGTCAGGAGGACCTGAGTTTAAATCCGGCCTCAGACCAAACACTTGACACTTACTAGCTGTGTGACCCTGGGCAAGTCACTTAACCGCAATTGCCTTAAAAAAAAAAAGAAAAAAAGAAAAAGCATTTATTAAGTGCCTGGGCACTTAGCGAAGTAAATAGGCTAAGAAATGGTTCCTGCTTGATGGGCTTCAGAAAAACCTGGAAAAGACTCATATGAACTGATGCCGAGTGAAATGAGCAGAACCAGGAGAACATATACACGGTAACAGCCACACTGTTAGATGACTGACTTTGATAGGCTTACCTCTTCTCAGCAATGCAAGGATCTAAGACAACTCCAAAACACTCATGATGGAAAATGCTATTCACATCGAGAGAAAGAACCATGGAGTCTGAATGCAGATGGAGGCTTACTATTTGCTCTCCTTTTCCCTTGTTTTGTTTTATTGCTTCATTCTGTGGTTTCTCCCATTAATTCTAATTGTTCTTTACAATATGACTAATGGGGGGCAGCTAGATGGCACAGTGGATACATCAGCACCAGCCCTGAAGTCAGGAGGACCTGAGTTCAAATCCAGCCTCAGACACTTAACACTCACTAGCTGTGTGACTCTGGGCAAGTCACTTAACCCCAACTGCGTCACAAAAAAAAAAAATGACTAATGGGTAAATACGCTTAATATGAATGTATAAGTAGAGCCTATATCAGATTGTATGCCGTCTTGAGGGGGAGAGGAGAGGGAGGGGTAGAAAATTTAAAACTCAAAATCTTATGGAAGTGAATGTTGAAAACTAAAAATAAATAAATTTTTAAAAAATGGTTCCTGCTTCACCTCAGAACCTCTTTCCATTTCCATTTTCATACACAGGTGTCTAATCTAGGCAGAGAAAGACCTGACTGTAGCTTAAACACCTGGAGACCCTAAGACTCTGAGGATGGCCACAGGTCAAGTGGCTGACTTGTTTGGGCTCAGTTTCCTCATCCACAAAAGCGGGAATACCTTGGATTTCCTAACATCCTGACTATGAAAGAGGACGTTCCAAACAACGCCAACGACTTACAAGGACATGTGCAGAATCTCGTTTGTCTCTGGCTTCCAGACTCCACGGAGCAGCTGCTCAAAGTTGGACATCAGGGCTACGCCCGAACCTGTACAACAGTAAGCCAGTGAGACCACGTCCCCAATGTGATAGCCGTGAAGCCTGCTCTTCAAAATGGAGTCTCTGGATCTTCCAGCCCCTGCCTACCACGGACTCTCCCCACATCTCTGTCTACTGAAACCCTTCTCCTTCAAAGGCCCCCCAATCAGCTGCCACTTCCTCCCTGAAGTCTTCCCGGATAACCGCTGGACATGATTGACCCCTCCCCTCCTGGAAGCTCCCTTGTGGCTCCGAGGCACCTTAACATATTCTAACTCGAAATCAAATCAACACAACCATTGCCTTTGGAAATTGGTCATTGCTCTTCATAATGGAAGAGTACCAAAATGACATCACAGTGTCCAGATCAATGTACAACGTGTCCAATTGTCGCTGATCAGATCAATATGAGCTTGGAAGGCTCTACCACAGGGCAGGCACAAATAGTACATATGAATACTTTCTGTACATTTTTTGGAAAAAGATTATCAATCAACTGCCCTGTTATGCCAGTCACCATCTCGGGGACTTCCCAAACCAAAAACACCCTTTACTCTCAAGCCACCACAGTACAAATATGAGCCGCTCGGATAGTGTTCCTTTATCAAGGTCTTCCTTCAGTGCCTCATCATTTCCTGAGGCTTACCCAAAGTTCTTTAAGACTAAGCCAGGGAGATGAGGAAAGGGATAATTTCAGAGAAACCAGGGAAGACTTACATGAACTGATGCAGAGTAAAGGAAGAAGAACCAGGAAAACAATTTAAACAATAACAATAACTGTCGAGACAAACAGCAACTTTAAAAGACCTAAAAACTTTGATGAAAGCAAGGACCAACCATAATTCCAGAGGACTGATGATGAATCATGCTACCCACCCCCTGGAAGAGAGGAGATGAACTCAGAATGCAGATGAGCCATGTTATTTTTTGGACATGGCCAAGGTAGAAATTTGTTTTGTTGACTATGCATATTTGTGACAAAGGTTTTCTTTTTCTTTTCTTTTTTTTTTGTTCCCCAATGTGTGTATATGGTGGGGAGGGGCTGGAGTAGATTGGAGGTAGGTAATTTTTTCTGTTACTTATAAAAAAAACCTACAATTTTTTCAAAAGACTATGCCCATGGGGCAGCTAGGTGGCACAGTGGATAGAGCTCCAGCCTTGGAGTCAGGAGGACCTGAGTTCAAATCTGACCTCAGACACTTGACAACTACTAGCTGTGTGACCCTGGGCAAGTCACTTAACCCCCAATTGCCTCACCAAAGAAAAAGCAAAAAAAAAAAAAAAAAAAAAAAAAAGACTATGCCCATGAAACCAAAGGTATAGGAGGGCCTCCACAGTGGGACAGGCTTTATATATAGCTATGAACAATATGCCTGTGACCCAACCTAAATCAGTACAAAGAAGCTTGTCACATTGTATATGTTTTGTATGTACTTACTGGCTTGCTTTCTCCCAGCAGAATATAAGCATCTTGAAGGCAGGGACTATTATGTCTGTCTTTGTATCCCCAGAGCCTAGGACAACACTTGGTAGGTGCTTAAATGGTTGTTGAATGAATGAATCACCAAAAGGCTGGCTACCAAGGGAGGCTTTTTTAAATTTTTTTTTTATTAGTAATCCATGAAATCTGATACAGAGGGGTTTGCCTTCTACATTAGTGGAAGGAGAAGTCGCACCAACAGAATTGTGGGTCTTTTGAAGAATATTATTTACACAATAACTACAATAATGTAAAAGAAAAATAACACTGAAAGACATCAGAACTCTGTCTGATGCAGTCGGTGATCATTCAAGCCTTCAGAGGACTAACAGTGAATCACGCCTTCTTCCTCTCAGCAGAGAGGTGGTGAACTACAGGTGCTGAATGAAGCATACACAGTCAGTTATGGCTATAGTGGTGCTGATTTATTTTGCCTAGTTGTACTTTGTCATAAGAAAGGGTTCTATGATAGAGGGAATCATCAGAAAGTGACTCTACTATCATTTTTAAAAGAGTATCAATAAAGCATTTAATTCATTTTAAAAGAGGTAAGAGCATCTCTTTATTATTCCATAGAACAGTTGGCTATTCTAAATGTGATGGTCTCCCTTGGAATTTCCCACTTATGGCTATAAGTCTGGTGGCAGGGGCTCCGTGGTGGGGCCAAAGGACTTACCTTTGACCCAGCCTGTGGCGATCATGATGAACCACCCATGGTGGTAGTGGTGGTGGGCATGATGGATCCCAACGGCAATCTTTCGAACTCTCACTACCTCCTTCATTGCCACAAAAATGAGCTTCACGGGCAGGAAACTGATGCATTTATAAAAGAGGTTCATGGGGCAGAAGAAAATCATGTACCTGCAAGGAAGGCAGCCGCCAACATTTGGGACAAACCAAGACACCCCCTCATCCCCCCTGCCCCTCACTCTGTGATGGCTTGAACAGCAAGGAATGTGATTAGCTTTGAGTCTGACGAGGTCAATTTATTGAAGTCAATGTGAGAACTAGAAGAGAAAGAGATGACATTCCCTTGCTTACAACATCTCCCCTTTCAACCCACCTTGCACACTCCTCACAACGAAGCTCATCTTTTTGATAAGGTTACCCCTCTGTTGGAGAGCTTACAATAGCTCTTCATTGCCTTCTAACAAGTCCAGATTTTTTAGCCTGGCATTCAAAGTCCTTCTGCAATCTAGCCCCAACCTGCTTATTCATGTCTGATTTCTCTGCCTCCCTACAATTTACCTCCCACTCTGGCCAGATTGGACAACTCCCCACTATCAGAGCACATCCCTCTGTCATCCTTCCTTGTGTTTTCTCTAGGTATTACTCAACATGAACCCTTCTCCAGGCAGACTGGTCAACTTGCTGTTCCGTATACGTTCTCATGTTTTCCTACTTTCATACCTTTGCTCACTCTGCTTCCACCAACTGTAATGTCTCCTGTCATTTTCTTCATTTATCCAAAACCTAGCCTTCCTTTAGCTAGGTGGCACAGTGGGTACAGTGCTCAGCCTGGAAGATTAATCTTCATGAGTTCAAATCTGGCCTCACATGCTTACTAGTTGTGTGACTCTGAGCAAGTCACTTCACCCTGTTTGTCTCAGTTTCCTCATCTGTAAAATGAACTGGAGAAGGAAATAGAAAACCACTCTAATATCTTTGTCAAGAAAACCCCAAATGGGGTCATGAAGAGTCAGACAGAAATGAAAAACATTCCTTTAGGGCCGGGGTCAAGCATCTCCTCTTCCATGGAGCATCTCTTGACTCTCTGTACTATATCACCTTGCTCATACTGTATGGTGTGAGGCCTCTCTTATCTCTGCCATCCTTTGTTAGTTAAGTTTCAAGGACTGCCTGATAAGAGCTCTGGGAAGAGCCAAGCAATCATTATGGCCAACCTTTCCCTGTTATACAAGCAAGAGGCAAGGTTTCCTTCCAAAGGAGGGCTTACCAGACTGCTGAGGCCAGGAGGATACTGGAGTTATTGCTGAAATAATCGATTGGTGCTTCCCCGAGCAGAAGATCAGCCAGGATGTAGCTCCCAAAGCAATAGAGCATGGCACAGATCCATGAGGCCACAGGGCTCCGCCGGGACAATTCCACAGCACCTGCAAAACCACCCTCGTGTTGATCATACAGGTCTGAAGGCCCTAAGGAGGTTAGGGAGCTCAAACACCCAACTCAACCTTTTCTCTAGGTGGTATAAACAACCCCCAAAAATTTCCTCATTTCCTAGAAAGGGATTTATTTATCCCTCCATTCCTAATTTAATTCATTCTTCTATCCACTCATTCATTCATTCATAGTTTTCGTTCATCCACTGCTTCAGAGCCTGCTGGTTGGTTTCTGTGTCTCAATTCTCTTCCAGTCCATTTTCTACTCAGTAGTCCAAATGGTACTCCTAAAGGGCAGGTTTGACCATGTGATCTCTCTGTTCAATAAACTGCAGTGGTTCCCTATTCCCTCCATGATCAAATATAAAATCTTCTGTTTGGCTTTGAAAGTTTTTCAAAGCCTGGCCCTTTCCTATCTTCCCAGTCTTCTTCTACCTTACTGCCTGAACATGTTCTGTAATCCAGGGATACTAGTCTCCTTCCCACATTCCATCTCTCCACTCTGGGCATTTTCACTAGCTATCCCCCATGCCTGGAATTCTCCTCCTCCACATCTCTGCCTCCTATTTTCCCTGGCTTTCTTCAAGTCTCAGCTAAAGTGCCACCTTCTGCAAAAAGCCCTGCTCAGTGCTCCTTAATCTCAGTGCCTTCCTTCTGAGATTATCTCTAGTTTATCCTGTCTTCAGATTATTTGTCCATTTTTGTTTGCATGTTGTCTCTCCCCATTAGACTGTGAGCTCCTAGAAAGCAGGGACTGTTTTTATGCCTTTTCTCTCCTCCCTCGACTCCCCACCCCCACATCCCCAGCACTTAGCACAGGACCTGGACATAGTAAGTTTTTAATAAATACTTGTTAACTTGATTTATTCATTCACTCATTTATTTTCCTTCATCTCATTCATCCATTCCTTTACTGTTTCATTCATTCATCAGCGAGTCATTTTACTACTAACAGAACACTGTACTAGGCACCTGGGAAGGAGGTTGGAAACACTTTGATATAGCAGAAAAAATCCGCCTTTGAATCTCATCTCTTCGATTTCAAAGGGCTCATGATGAAAAAATGCTATCCACTTCCAGAGAGATAACTGACGAATTCTGAGTGCGAATTGAAGTATAATTTTCTCACCTTTTCTATTTTTCTTATTTTAAAAAAAATATGGCTAATACAGAAATATGTTTTACGTGATTTCACATTTATAATTAATGTCATATTGCTTGCCTTCTCAGTAGGTAGAGGACAGGGTGGGAAGAGGAAGAGAATTTGGAATTCAAAATTTAAAAAAGAAAGCCATGTCCAAAATAAATAATAAATTTAAATGTTAAAAATTTTTTTTTTAAAAAAATCTTGTCTTTTGTTTGTGACTAACTTTGTGACCTGGAGCAAATCACTTCCCTCCCTGGACCTCAGTTTCCTCTTTTGTAAAATAGGTCATGGTTAGATCAGTTAACTTCTAAGATACATTCCAGCTCTGACAGTCTACAAAGCTATGAGAAAGTAGAGTTCCTGCTCCCGGAGAAATTTAAACCTCACGGGGGAAATGAAAGAGGAAATCATTGGAGAAAAGTAGCCCGTGTTCATGGTCAGTAATAGAACACAAGTCAAATATGTAGATGCTGAGAGAGTATGGAATAAAGAAAAGTGAGAGTCATGTTGGATAAATCCAGGAGGACTTCCTAAAGAAGGCAAATTTTAAAATCAGATTTTGCAAAAGGTGAAGAAAATGAAGTGACAAAGCCAGAGGCCTTTGAATGAGTGGGAAGGGGGGAGGTGCAGAAAGGGGCATTCCAGGTTGAAGGAATAACACGTAAGTACAGGATCAGGAAGAATTAAGTTAGGCAAAAGAAGGTGAGCCAAGAAGTATGCAATGGGCTGCAGGGCTTGGCAGGGAGTCAAGGTGAGAAGTTAAATATAGCTAGGGGTGGAGACAGGTGGAGGCTCCAGAATGACAAGACAGGTAATCGCTATTTTTTCCTGACTTGCCAAGTCTTCACGGAGTATAATGGGTTCATTACAGTGAGGTGTTGGAAGGAGAAAGTAAAATGTAACTCAGCAGAAAGAGATCTCTTGGTTCAGTTGGAAAGACCAGTGGACTGGTTTTCAAGAGGCCTCTACCAATAACCCAGTGTTGTCCTACTTGACCCCAGAGGGTAGGGTAGAACCAGGAGCAATAGGTGGATGTTGTGACGACACAAATTTAGGCTTGACATAAGGAAAAACTCCCCAAAGCTCTGCTGTGAATGAGTCCCACCATTCTGGAAAGCAATATGGAACTTCAAACTCCCAAGTCACTAAACTATGTCAACACTTTTGATCCAATGATGCCATTAGAGGGAAAGAGAAGAGAATAAGCATTTATTTTTTTTAATTTAATTTAATTTTTTTATTAATTTATTTTTAGTTTTCAACAATCACTTCCATAAGCTTTTGAGTTTTAAATTTTCCTCCCCCTCTCTCCCCAAAACAGCATGCAATCTGATATAGGCTATACATATACATTCCTATTAAACATATTTTCACAGTGATGTTGTAAATCAGAATTAGAACCAATAGGAGGAACCACCAGAAAGAGGAAACAAAACACAATAGAAGAAAAAAAATAGCAAATAGTATGCTTCAATATGCATTCAAACTCCATAGTTCTTTCTTCTTAGTGGATAGCATTTTCCATCACAAGGCCTTTGGAGATGTCTTAGATCCTTGTATTGCTGAGAAGGGTTTAGTTTATCAATATTAATCATCGCACAATGTGGCTGTTATTGTGTACAATGTTCTCCTGGTTCTGCTCACTTCACTCAGCATCAGGAGAATAAGAATTCATATAGTACCTACTATGTGCCAGGCATTGTGCTAAGCACTTTTGTAAATATTATCTAATATTACTACGCACATAACTCCAGTTAGGTCAAGGACAGAGGGAAAGGACTTACATGTACGCAAATATTTATAGCAGCTCTTTCTGCAGTAACAAAGCAGTGGAAACTAAGGAGGTGTCCATCAATTAGGGAATGACTGAACAAATTATGGCACATGAATGTAATGGAATATCATTATGCCTTAATAAATGACAAAAGAGGAGCAGCTAGGTGATGCGGTGGATAGAGCACTGGCCCTGGATTCAGGAGGACCTGAGTTCAAATCCAACCTCAGACACACAACACTCACTAGCTGTGTGACCCTGGGCAAGTCGCTTAACCCCATTGCCTAACCGCCCCAAAAACAAACAAAAAAAAATGACAAAAGGGATGGTTTCACTGAAACCTAGGAAGCCCTGGATGAACTGATGTGAAGTGATGTAAATAGAATCATAAGAACAATTTATGCAAAAATTACAACAATATAAAAGAAAACAACTTTTAAAGACTTAAAAACTCTTAATCAGTGTAAGGACCAATTCCAGGTCCAGACAACTGATGATGGTGTATGTTTCCTAGCTCTTAGCCAAGAGATGATAGACTAGCGCTACTGAATCAGACATACATTTTCAGATACAACCAGTGTATGAATTTGTTTTGTCTGACTGTACGAAAGAGCTTTTATTTTGGGAGGGGGAAGAATCAGTGGGTCACTGATAATGATGCAAAAAAAAAAAGAAAAAGAAAAGAAAGAGAGAAAAGCGCAACCAGGAAATGTTAAGAAAATACACAGAAGAGAGCAGAAGAATGTTCACTAGGGGCACACATACAACCTGGGTAGTGTTCCATTCTAAATTTAATATATGCGTTTCAAAATCTGTATATAATAGCGATCCATGGTTTCACATACAACTTTCATTTTCTGTTCTTCTTTGACAATGTATGTTTGTGTTAATTGATATTTAAGTTCATAATGAAAAAAAGGAAATTCAAAACAGGCAATGCCAGATTAATTTTATTTCCATTTTTGACAGTAATATTAAACCATCAGATAGGAAAGGGAAAGGATACTGTGTAGTTAGAGTTTGCCTACCAGGGGTGGGGCACACACCCCTCGAGGCCACATGCAGATTCCCCACTCCTGGCCTAGATTTTGTAAAGTATTTGATAAAGTAGCTCAAATTCTTCTTGTGGAATAGGTGGACAGAGGTAGGTTAGGTAACAAAAATATTAGATGGATTTGGAACCGGTTGAACGACAAGATCCAAAGTGTATGGTTTGATATCAACTTGGAAGGAGGTCTTCAGTGGAGTGCCCAGTGAATCTCTTCTTGGTCCTGCGCTATTTAATTAAACCTGTTGATCATATCTGCATGTGATTTGCTCTAGGCTATCACTGAGAAGGACAGCTAAATGTACTCATAAGTACTCGATAGGCTAGAAAACTAGGCTGAATCTACTAAGAGGGGATTTAATAGAAGTGTGTGTAATTACACTTTTGCTCAAAAAAAATCTGTTCACAAGTACAATATGGTTAGATAGTTAGTACAATAGCTATACAACATACTATTCAAGCAAAAGAGATTATTATTATTAACATACTCCTTTCAGAGATAGCCTGGTGTAGTGGACTTTGAAATCTGGTGACCTTGAACTATTATACAGCTATTAATAATAGCTATCTAATACATAGCCCTTTAAGGTTTACAGTGCACTTCACAAATATTACCTCATTTAATCTTCACCACAACTTGGTAAGGCAAGTGCTATCATTCCCATTTTACACATGAAGAAACTGAGACAATCTGTTGTCATGGCCTGTTGATTTTATTTTTGCACCATCTCTCAAATATACCCCTTTCTCTCCTCTGACACTGCCACTACCCTAGAGCAGGCCCTCATTACCTCATTGTGTCTCACCCTCCCCCCCATACCCAATCTGTTGCCAAGGTCTGTCGATTTCACCTTTATAACATCTCTGTACCCAAGATTAGAAGGGAAGCAGAAAGCTGGGAAAGAATTTTTACAACTAAATTGATGAATGGTCAAAGGATATGAACAGGCAGTTCTCAGAGGAAGAAATTAAAGCTACCTATAGTCATATGAAAAAATGCTAAAAAAAAAAATCAATGCTCTAAA